GTGACGACACAGGCACTTCTGCACCCCAACGACCCGCGCATCGATTGGGTCTTCCGCAGGGCACTGTACCGCCCGTATCTCCATATATTTGGACAGATTCCTCTAGAGGAAATAGATGGTACACTATATATTCTTTATATGTTCTTGCTTTGAGCACATTGTAGCTCATTGTTGGGGCTGTATTAATAAAGGCTTTTTTTTTGTAAGCAGTGTTATTTTAGTATTATCAATCAATATCATTTTTAATAGGCTTTTATTTGTATATGTTCAGTTTTCATTTCAATTTCTGTTTAAATTGTAGTAATTGTTTATGTGATTTTGACATTTTTGTTATTTGAAAAAAAAAAATTCTTAAAAGTTTTAGTAATTCAACTTTTAGACTTATTGCAGTTACTTGCAAGTGCAATATTTCAATTTTTTTAGTTTTTAAGTTTGAGTTTTTTCATTTAATATTTATATATAATTATTTAATAATATTAATTTTTTTATATATTTAATAGTTTTAGTTAAAGGGATAGTTCACCCAAAAATGAAAATTCTGTCATCATTTACTCACCCTCAAGTTGTTCCAAACCTGTTGGATGAGTTTCTTTCTTCTGCTGAACCCAAAAGAAGATATTTTGATATTATATATATATCTCCATAATATGGAAGTCAACGGGGTCCATACACTGTTTGATTACCCATATTCTTAAAAATATCTTCGTTTGTGTTCAGCAGAAGAATGAAATTCATACAGGTTTGGAACAACTTGAGGGTGAGTAAATGATAACCAAATTTTAATTTGTGAGTAAACTATCCATTTAACAATAACAACACTGGTTTGAAGTAAAAATTAAATGCCAGTAACCAAATTGACTAGATATCAATTTAATAGTGTTTAATACTTAATCAATGGTTAATTTCATGCTCAGTGGGTCTAGTCACACACTTTCTGTCAACATTTGTTCTTTCATCTAAATTAATTTGTAGTTATTAGACTTGACCTCTAGGTGGAGCTATTGCAGTTTATTTTTGACTATATTTCTCCATGTATCTTCACAGCGGCAAAGATGCCAGATGATAACTGCACTAATGATGTGCAGGACATCATCTTAGGGACTCTGCCACCCTGTCCAAACTTATACGCCAACTGGCTGGTCATTCTGCTGCTCGTCATCTATTTGCTGGTCACAAATGTGTTGCTGCTCAACCTTCTTATTGCCATGTTCAGGTCAGAGTTCAGCTAATACAAAACTGGGAGATTCTTCACTGTGAAAAAGTAAAATACAATTAAAAAAATATGTTTGCATTTCGATGTTCCACTTTACACATGTTGATAACTATAAATAACTTTGCACCTACATGTCAACTCATTAGAGTATAAGTAGACTGTCTGCTTAATATCTGCTAACACTTTATACTTTTAACTTGCAACCTGAACCCTAACAACTAACCCTAACCCAACAGTCTACTAATACTCTAATGAGAGTTAGTTGACATGTAGGTGCAAAATTACTTATAATCAATAGAATGTCTAAAGGAGACCACCAAAATAAAGTGTAACCCACTTTTCCAGTAAATGTGTGTGTGTGTGTGTGTAATACAATTCTTCTCATAAACAATGTCACAAAATGCTATTTGAAATGCAACCAAACATGTCACCTCTCCGCAGCTACACCTTCCAGGTGGTGCAGGAGAATGCAGACATCTTCTGGAAGTTTCAGCGCTATAACCTGATTGTTGAATACCACAGCCGCCCGGCACTAGCCCCACCCTTCATCATCATCAGCCACATCTCTCAAGTTCTCCTCAGTCTCGTCAAAACGACAGAAAACAAGCAGGATCTGCTGGGTAAGGAAGTCGTCACACTGACTGTGTACTTCCTGTACAGATTATTTAGATAATTCATAATACTTTTAATGAAGTCAGTCAAACTCCAGTCTAAAATAAGAGCACAGAACAAAATGGAACAATTAAAGCAGTGGAGCAGGAAAAGCAAAGATAATTTAAAGAATCTGTGGTCGAACGTTTGTTCCTCTATTCTTGTTGTGGTCAGAGAGGGAACTACCAGCTGGCCTGGACCAGAAGCTGATGACATGGGAGACGGTGCAGAAGGAGAACTACCTGGCTAAACTGGAACGAGAGCATAGGGAGAGCAGTGGAGAGAGACTCAGATACACTTCCTCTAAGTGAGTCACATTTAAACTCTATACACATATGAGATGGATTTGGATTTGTATAGCACTTTCCACAATACTTTTTGTTTCAAAGCAGAGAATTCTTGTTTCAGTGTTACAATTTAGGAAGTATTCTGTTACCAGCCAGAGATAAGTGTATCAAAGTAATGTTCATGGCAGTAATATAGAGCTATAATATAGTAGCCTACGTTATGTGGTTAGTTAACCTCATACACTTAGTTAAGCTAACAAAATGAACATGTTAGGCAGCGATTACTACTTGCGCTTGTAATGATTGTGATGCTGGGATAGTATATAGTATAATATTTGAAAGTTTTGCATGTCGTAATCTGACGTAATTGTCGGCGTCGCCTGAAAACATTGCGAAGGTTGGATCCAAACTGGAGCTGGCACAATTTGTGGTAGAAACCTGGGGTAAAAACATAGGGAAGCAAAAGGAGAGGAATTAGCATAGCTGCAGTTCATAGCATTTTAGGCAAAGTATAATCATGTGTATTTGGCACTATTTCAATTTCAAGTTTATGAGAAACATTAGGTGAATGCTTGGCTAAAAAGAGATGTATATGATCTAGATTTAAACAGAACATCATCAGGAAGGCTATTCCAGAGTTTACGAGCCAAATGCGAAAAGGCTCTACCTGCTTTAGTAGACAAAAGTCCAGAGTTTTGTGTCCTTAAAAAAATATTTTATAATCATAAAATGTATCATTAACACATTATCTTATATTGAGATTCCTGCTACAGGTAAGTCTTTGCTGAATGAGTGTATGAATAACTATTATCCTCTACGGTTACACTTTATTTTAAGGTGTCATTGTTACAATGTAATTTTACATTTAAGTAGTGAGTAATAATAATTAACAACATGTACTTACTATAGGATTAGGATTTGGTTGAGGGTTAGTTGCATGTAATTATGCATAATTTACTGTTATTACTATGGTAAGTACATGTAACATATGTAACAAGGACACTGTAAAATAAAGTGTTACCTAATCTACTTTTTGCATGTATCATTTTATAGGGTACAGAGTTTGCTGAGGTTGGTTGGGGGTTTCAAGGATCAAGAAAAGCGAATGGCAACAGTGGAGACTGAGGTGAAGTGAAGGAGTAGCTGCTGACTTAAAGTTACCATGAAATCAAAATTGACAAATCTCTTCTTTTTTTTTATTTTATCGAATACTGCAGTATTTATTATAAAATGATTTATCCGTAGTACATTTAAAAAAAAAAAAAAAAACATGTGCCCTCGTAATCTTTACCACAAAGATCCAATGATTCAATGGATCTTTTCTTTTTCGAGAAGCTGTTTCACTCGTATATACTGTACATCACAATAGGGAAGAAAAGACTATCGCAAATTCCGTTTCATGTAAACTTTAATATCTGTTGAGATTCCTCATTTAAGTTCATGTTGCCAAATGACTTTACTGAACATGTAAATGTATCTGTAGGTGAGGTATTGCGGAGAGGTGTTGTCCTGGATTGCGGAGTGTTTCCACAAAAGTACTCTGAAGTGTGACAGAGACGTGCCTATAGCCCCACGTGAGGCTTCCTTTACTATTATGTTGCCCTTCCTCATATTGTGTCTTCTTCCTTATCTTTGTATCTTCTTTGTTCTCTCTCTTACTCTGTCTGAGTGTCTTCTTTTTGTTGTCTCACAGTCTTTGTCCTCTCAAGGTAACACTACACTACCTGTGTTTCACAGGGTCCATTGCCATCAGCTCCAGAAACCCACAACCACAGGAAGCCAAGAGACAGCAGCCGTCAGGACATTCAGGATATGGTGCCGAAAAGAAACTGGCTTACATTGATCAGTGATCTGGCTATATTATTATGCTTTTTTAAATTATTTAACTATAAATAGGATATCAGTTGTTATAGTATGTAATTGTAATTGAGACTCCAGGCAACAAAATTAAAGACAAAATCTGTGCAGATTAATATTTTGATTTTACCGTGATTTCCTTGTACATTAAACCTACACCTCTTTTGTAGCTATACAGCACTAATAATTATCATTACAACTTTTACTATACAAATATATATATATATATATATATATATAAAAAATCAATATAATTTGGTAATGCACTTGAAGTAATTGGAACTGTGTAATTGTCTTTCTAGTTAGAAGAATATTAGATTTTTCTTTGTCTTCTATCAACACTTGGCACAATTATTTCAGTAAAATTTACATTTTCAATTGAATTACCATTGAGGAATTGTATGAATGCTACACAGTGTGAGCTCTTGACATCCTCATTTCAACAGTAATATGTGAAATATTATCACAATTTAAAATAACAGTTTTCTATTTGAATATATTGTAATATATTAATAATAATGTAATATATTTGTAATAATAAAATATTAATGTTAATTTATAATATAAATATAATAATGTTTTTTTATTTTTTATTTAAATATATAATGTAATTTTTCTGTGTTGGCAAAGCTGTATTTTAGCATCATTACTCCAGTCTTTAGAGTCACATGATCCTTCAGAAATCATTCTAATATGCTGATTTGCTCCTCAAGAAACACTTTCTTATTATTATCAATTTCGAAAACAGTTGGGCTGCCTAATATTTTTGTGTAAACCATTTTTGTTCAGGATTCTTGGTGAATAGAAAGTAAAAAAAAAAAAAAAAAAACATTTATTTGAAATAAACTTTTTGTAAAAGTAACTTTTATCAACTTAATTCATCCTTTGCTGAATAAAAGTATTATTATTTTTTAATTCATGCGGACCCCAAACCTTTGAACAATAGTGTATAGATATTCTTATCATCTTTGAGAGTGTAAACATCACACTGTTTCACACAGGAAAACACAGATTATTCATTATCAAGAATGACCAATACCGTTCTCATAGCTAATGAATCAGTAACCAGTTGACTAGGCAAATTTACCCATTGTGCGCAAGGGAAGTCGGAGCCAGCCTCAAGGGAAAATAAGGATTTTGAAAAGTCTTGTTTTCAGTCAGTATACCAGAACTAAGTGAGCACACATTCACTCTCTGTGAACCCACAGTTTTTTTTTTTAAGAAGACCTGCTCTAGAGTTTGTAGTGAAGCCAAAAGAGACTCTGCTAATGTCATACTCGTTTCTGCACTGTGATGGACAGGCTCGGTATGTATTATATTTCTTTTGTTCCTTTATTACCATATGTGGAACAAAGTTTTCTGTTCCAAATATTTGACTAATTCTATAATACCATAAATGATTTCTTACTGTTTTTTTGTAATACTTTATATAGTTTGATGTAACAATGGTTGAGAATAAAGGGAAGAAAAAAACGTTCAATGGGAAACTGTATATATCTCACAACAATATAACTATATATTAATGTGAGACAAAAGATCTGCTATATGTTGCCGTTATTTCATACGTCCAGATTTTGCTGAGTTATACGCATTCCTGGGTCAACATATTTTGTCAGAAAATTTAGTTTTATCCAGTAATCCCTAAAATCAGAGGGAAATTATATAGCCTAGGTGAATAACACTGATGTAGTAGCACCAAAAAAACTGTAAACTTGTCCCTCAAATCTGATTGGTATGTTGTTCCAGGATCAACAAAGATGTTGATCCATGTTGCACTTGGTGAAATCAGGTTCTGCGTAGAGTGTCAACAGGAAAATGTGGGTGAGAGAAGGAGAATATGACCAGGACATGACCCAGAAGAGACTCAAGCCTGCGTATCATTGATCCTCGCACGTCCTGAGCATGTGCACAGTCCACTGCACCACAACTCTAGCTTATTTTATTCGTATTGTATTGTAGTTCTTATTGTTTTCTAATATTATTTTGCTGTATCATGCTGCCAGATCCTAAAATGAGCAAGATACAAAATGTCGAGTTGATTTGAGGTTAATGAGTGAACAGATGTAAACAGAACAGGACAGTTAGTAACAGGAAGTTGGTGCACCACAGGAAGTAGATTCTCGAACAGTGATGTGTCAGATCCACCTGTCTACTTTCACACAGCTCTAAAAACCTGGAAATGGCCTGGTGTGAACTGACATAGCAGTCTGTTATGTTACATGGCTGAGCTATGAAAAAGAAAGTTCCTTCTTTGCACACTTTTGCTTTAACAGACCTCCAATCAGCAGCTCCATCCACTGACACCATCCAGCAGGGTCCCAGCATTGCTCTTACAAATAAGTATAGACATTTTTTACATGTTAATTTTCCTTCTTAAAGGCCAAAATCACACTGCACATGCAGACCAATGCCGACCGTCACCAGATTACGGCACGTCACTTTTTTAGACATTCTAAGTCCGATTCAGCGAAAACAAGCTCAAACAGACTCCAACAGGGATAACACACTAATCCGACAAAACACAACCAAGTGCCTTTTGTCGGCGCAGTGTGAATTGGCCTTAAAGGTTCTTGTATTTCTTTTGGCTTATTTAAATTTTCAAAAACATTCAAATACATAATTCTGTTTGTTCTTTAGTATCTCTGCTGCTGTTATTAAGGTGTTCAAGGGAGAGGAACTACAGCCGAATGAGCTGTACTCCTTGAGTCAAAATACCAGGTATAAACACTTGAAGTCGTCACATTTAAAAATGCATAATAACTACATTAAGCAGTTATTTGCTTTCATCCATGCAGGTGGCTTCTAAGGGCGGATATGGGCTTCTTTATCAAAGAGTATTTCCAGGTGTCAGTTCCCAGAGCCATGATGTTTTGTTTTTTTCTGGTTAAAAATAAATAAATGGATTACTGGTTGAAGAAAAACCTGCTGAAATTGCTTTGCTTGATTGATTGCAGAATCAGATTTTGACCAAAGGTCTATCAATCGTTTTGGATGAGATACAAAAGCATGAAGGTGAGACTATGGATCTGTATGCATGAGTGTTTATCATGAAACAGACCTTTAACGTGATCTTTCCCCCCCCCCCCCTAGGAGAGTCTGAAGAGAGACAGCTTTTTGTTTTGGCCCAGGTGTGGGACAGATTTTTCTCTGAGATTCTACCTACTTTACAAGCTATTTTATATCCTCTGCAGGTAAATCTGTTTGTGAGCTTGAAAATGTCCCTGTCTAGAAAATAGGTTCCAACACTTAGGCGAGGTCTGAATTTGAAACACCAAATGTGTTCCACAAGGCCAGAGGTAGCACGTATCAAACACAGACTAACCTGAAATGAGTTTCACCTTTTAAACTTTAAATCCAGATTCATGAGAAGCTGTAAGGGTATTATTCAAAAGTTTGGGGGCTGAGTGTGTGTGTGTGTGTGTGTGTGATATTTAGTCACAAGTGATTTACTCGATTTACTACATTGTACTACAGACCCCTACACAAGGGTCTGTAGTAGGCCTACAATGTATTGCTGCAATGAACATGCAAGGTGTTGTTATCCAAGGTCGTAACTATATCTTTGATTGACCATCAGTTATTTTGACATTGATGAGCACTGTTAGATCACAGAGGCGGACCAGCAATATGGCCTTTTTATACATGTCGATACATGTCTTAGTTGTGCATCTGTGAAGTTTGAAGCTAGAAATGGAAAGTGTTTTACAGTCCTTCATCTCGTGGGCTGACGACAACTACTGGATGTTGTGGGACAAAGAGTGATTGACTGGGGAGATTCCACGCCTGATGAAATTTGGGAGAAGGATGTTGACTTGAGGACATGGGATGAATTCTTTTTTTTTTTTTTTTGGAAGGTGGTTATGCTGCTGCTATGAATCTGTGTCCTGTATGGGCATTCACAGATCAGAGAGCCTTTCAGTTGCTGCAGTTCATCCAGTGTGTGATAATGATATCTGTGATAGGATAAACTCATGCTGCAAGTAAAACAGTCAGCCGCCAGATCAGCTTCTCTGCACCTGAAGACCTGCTGATCCCCAATATTGTACTGTTAGAATAAAGAATTTAGAATGTAAAAAGAAAACAATACCTGTCACAGCCAGAAGCAAAGAATCGGGAATTATTACATCTACTTTAAAGAATGATTCTAAATAGTGTTTAGGCAAACTTCCTGTTTAGTTATATTGTGGTATATTTGATTTCGCATGAAATGTATTCAGTGTCTTTCTCTTTGTATGCAGGGGCAGGAGTTGACAGTGAGACAGATGACTCTCCTCGGCTTTAGGGATCTGGTCCTAATGAAGCTTTCTCTGGGTGACCTGCTGTGCAAGAATCTGTCTCTCATCCCAGCATCCATCACACAGATGCTCCTTGTGCTACAGGTGAATGTTAACTGCAAACCCATGCTGAAAAGCCATCTGTATAACCATCTCTATTATTCATGTCTGTTCTTATGTATGTGTAGGGAATTCAGGAATCCAGAGGCCCTTCAAAGGAATATTGCCAGCTTGAAAGTCTGGTGGCACTAGTGGTCACACCCTATCTATGGAACTGCAGGCACACAAGTAGGAAAACCAACATTGATTCATTGTAGTTTAATCTATTTTGTTGCCATCTCAAAATGCTTTCACATTAGAGTGCTGCAGGGATGTTGTATTTTTGTTGGCCAAAACGCAGAAGCGAGTTAGCATTTTAGCACTTCTGGTTCTATCGCCACAAAGTCAATGGTTTTTTAAAATGGGATTTTGGTTAAAAGCCTGAAATAAGGTCTGTGGTGAACACAAGCTCAATATATTTTCATGCCTAATTGTACGACATACAACACACAAGTAATACCCTTTTCATAATTTTTAAAGCTTTTACATATTGGCAGTTGCTAAATGGGACTGCAGATGTTGTCTGTGACATTAAACAGCATCACACCGAACAGGTAAACTCATTTACTCCAGTAATCACACTCTTGCAAACTATTCTAACTCGCACTTTCAGATTTTTATTTTTTATAAAGACTGAAAGAACAAAGAGTTGCCAGAAGCTTGGTGTGAAGTCAAGCGACTATGGTGTAGTTCGTTTATAGCCAAACGTTAGCTTTTTATTCCTGCCGATTGTATTTAGACTTCAACATTCATAAAAGTTGTGTTCATTTGTGAAATGAAATGTGTAACTATCAAACTTTTTGTTGAACATAGAACAATTTTTTTGTGATAATTCAAAAGTCCTATTGGGTTTTTGTCGAGAAAACCAATGTGATGCTACTGTAACTTCCGGGTTTGGGCTACAAAAACACTACATCACCGCAGCACACTGTATGCCATTTCCTCAAATACAAATCAACAAAGTATTAGTTCACCACCACATTAAAAATATTTTTTTACTCACTCCTCATGTTCAAAACCCACATGTCTGTTCCAAAAAACAAATGTGTGACATTTCAAGTCTTCTCAAGTCATATAGCTTTGTGACGAACAGACACAAATTTATGTTGTTAAATTCATGGATAATCATCCCCTAGTGCTGTTAACCATTGTAACTGGATCATTGAGTCAGCGAGTTAAACTCGAGAACTGGATTAGTCTGATCTGTGAATAAATCATTCAGACTTTGGCTGCATCTGAAATCGCATACTTATGTCAGAATTCACAATATATTAATAAAACAGTGGGCGAAAAGTACTCGTATGACTTACTACAACAAGATTCTTAAAGGGATACTCCGCCGTTTTTTTCATATTAAACTATGTTATTCCCTTAAGGGTTAGTTCACCCAAAAATGAAAATTATGTCATGTCGTTCCAAGCCCGTAAGACCTCTGTTCATCTTCGGAACACAGTTTAAGATATTTTAGATTTAGTCCGAAGGCGTTCTGTCCCTCCATTGAAAATGTGTACGGTATACTGTCCTTGTCCAGAAAGGAAATAAAGACATCATCAAAGTAGTCCATGTGACATCAGTGGGTTAGTTAGAATGTTTTGATGTCTTTATTTCCTTTCTGGACAAGGACAGTATACCGTACATTTTCAATGGAGGGACAGAAAGGTCTCGGACTAAATTTAAAATATCTTAAACTGTGTTCCGAAGATGAACGGAGGTCTTACAGGCTTGGGACGATATGAGGGTGAGTCATTAATGACATAATTTTCATTTTTGGGTGAACAAACCCTTTAACTAAGACGATTTGATACATCTCGTCTCAGTACGTGCACTAAATCGCTCTGTCTTGCAGCGAAACTTTGTTAGCACTTAGCTTAGCCCAGTTTATTCATTAGGATCCAAACAGAGAAGCAACCAAACACCTCCACGTTTTCCCTATTTAAATACAGTTACACGAGCAGTGTAACTCGACCAAGTATGGTGACACAATAAAACGTGGTGCTTTTCAAAGCGTGTAAAATGGATAACTAATGTATGGCGGAATACAATAGCAAGTGCTTGGGAGCACTTTGACTCGGCGCAGTAATATCATCACTCCTGAAAAATCCTCTCCCTCTCATTGATGATATTACTGCGCCGAGTCGAAGTGCTCCCAAGCACTTGGTATGGTATTCCGCCATACATTATAGTTATAGTTACATTCGTTTGCTGAGTCCCAATTCAGAGGCTGCTTCCTTCGAAGGCCAATTGCTTTACCGCAGTGCCACGAAGGCTGACCCAATTTGAAGGCTCCTTCAAATGCGGCCTCAAAATGCACCCTTTGTTTCCTGTGAAATGAAGGATAGGCTACAACAGATGGATCCTTGTCTACCCTAGAATTCATTGCGCACCAGTGACTACATGATTTTTTTTTTTTAGAAATAGCCAAATTACTTTTAAACTTAAGTAGCCTATTGGGTTTCAGCTTACTCAAATATCTACTGACAGATTTAAATAATAATAATAATAAAAAACTTTAAAGCGGTTCAAATGTTGACTTATATCTTACGAAGATGCGATTATACATAAGTTTATACTGTTTATAGAAATGGACCATGGTAAGCATTTTTATAGTTTGTGATCCTGATTACAAAACAAAAGTTAAACAAACACTGTCACTCATCAGTGGCAGCTGGCAATAACAATCCTCCGTAGGCTAGCTAGACCGTCCCATTCAACAACGCTCGGTCCAACCTTCGCAGGCGTTGCCTTTTATAAGTCCGAGTCCTCCGATGGACACAGCCTTTTATTATCACATGAGACCATGGGAGAGGAGTTATGAATGGCAGTGAAGCGATGCAACTGACGCTGGTAGGTCACATGACAATGACAACATGGCGAATGTAGTACGTCTGGATTTCATTCATACTCCATAGATTTTTTTTTTTTTTAGCAATTGCAGTGTATACTTAAAAATAAAAGTACCTATTCAAGAGAGTGAGATTTCAGATGCAGCCATTGTATTCATTCAGATTCGTAAAGCTGAATCAAAGATTCACAGAAAAGATCTAACTCGAAAAAATGAATTAATTCAGTGATATTTTAATATTATTTATATACTGACTGAATTAGCTTTTATTTTTATATTTTCAGTTTTTTATTTAATTTTAGTTTGTTTTAGTAATGTTATGCGTTTTATTTCTATTTAGCTTTATTTTTATTTCAGTTTTAAACATTTTAAGTACTTTAACATAACTTTATTTCAATTGTTGCTATGGCAACATTTCTGATAATCTTTTTTTTTGGTGAAGATTTTCAATCTTATCCTCACCCAAAACTATCGTATGATTTCTGAAGTCCATGGTTTACTCATTTGGCATTCACTTTCATTATGTGTTAAAGAGTGTCCCATGGTATTTTATGTATTATTATTACATTTTGTGCTCCATGTAATAAAGTCTTACAGGTTTGGGATCATGGGATATGAAGACGAGTAAAGCATAAGATCATTTTTTTAATTCTGGGTGAACTATCCCTTTAAAGCAAACAGACTTTACCTTTGGCTACAAATGTGTGACTTTCTCACATTCCTCTAGGCTGCACTGAAGTTGAAAAAAGCACCACAAGAGCACACCCGAGTCATCCTGAGATAAGGATAACTCATTACATCTCTGAAGGCTCTTTGCTGTCCCCTGTATTAGAACAGGAAGGGGAGGTGTACCTAGAGCGAGTGGGAAACCTACGCCGCCACAGCGTGACAAATGCTCATTCTGACATTCAGCTGCTCACCGTTACTAGCAGAATGTATTCTGGGATGGACGACAGCTGTGAGACCATAGACTGACTAGAACAACACGTCTCTGAAATCTGCCACGTTATGAAAGCATCTGTGGGGACTAAAAATGCACAGGAGAGACAGAAAACAGGACATTAACAATAATTTATAAAGACACATTTGAGCACTGAATATTTTGATGAAAAAAAAAACAATATGAAAAAAGGATTTTTGTCAGATTTCCAGTGTCAATACAATTATAAGATTAACTTGCATACATTAGTCCATCTGATTAAAGAAAATGATTACTTATTTTGTCAATGATGTTCAATGAAGTAAGTAGGACATTCACACATGTAAGCAATATTGGACACAAATTAAGTAAGGTAACTGGTGCCATCTGCATTAAAGGTGCGGTCACATTTACTGTTGTTTAGCGAATTGACCAGTTATTTCAATACAAATCCATGCAATTAGAAATTCGCGCGAGGCCGGAAAAATTCCCCAGGCAGTTCAAATTCGTCACGTGGATTCGCGGCCTTGACCATCAACTTGTGCTTAATCCATTGCTACACTATTGACAAGACCATTTTTGTCAAAACTTGATTGCAAGTTTTGATTGCTAACGTACGGAGCCCCCCTAGTCCCACTTTGTCAAAAAAATTAATTATAACTATCTCGTGGCCTCAAGATAGTATCTCTAAGATAGTATCTCTATCTTGAGGCCACGAGTTACTATCTTGAGGCCACGAGATAGTTATAATTAATTTTTTTGACAAAGTGGGACTAGGGGGGCTCCGTACGTTAGCAATCAAAACTTGCAATCAAGTTTTGACAAAAATGATCTTGTCAATAGATACTAACGTGATCGCACCTTAAAGGAGTAGTTCACTTTAAAATGAAAATTAGCCCATGATTTAGTCACCCTCAAGCCATTCTAGGTGTATATGGCTTTCTTCTTTCAGACGAATACAATCGGAGTTATATTAATAAAAACACCCTGATGCTTCTGAGCTTTATAATGGCAGTGGATTGCAACCATCTGATTGAAGCTCAAAAAAGTGCATCCATCTATTATGCAAGAACTCCACACGGCTCCGGGGGGTTAATAAAGGTCTTTTGAAGCAAAGTGATAAGTTTGTGCAAGAAAAATATTAATATTTAAAACTTTATAAAGTAAAGTTTGTGCAAGTAGACTGCGTATGGCCGTTTGCTAGAATTTTACTTTGTAACGTGTTAAATAGGAATATTTTTCTTACACAAACTCATCGCTTTGCTTCAGAAGACCTTTATTAACTCCCCAGAGCCGTGTGGAGTTCTTTAATAATAGATAGAAATGCACTTTTTTGAGCTTTAATCTGATGGTGGCAATCCACTGCCATTATAAAGCTCAGAAGCATCATGGTGTTTGTTAATATAACTCCGATTGTATTCATCTGAAAGAATAAAGTCATATACACCTAGGATGGCTTGAGGGTGAGTAAATCTTGGGTTTTAAATCCGGAATACAGCAATGGTGAAAAACTGTTTAACGGTCTAACTCCACAATTCAGTACTTCACAGTTCACAAACTTTGTAATATGTTTCAGCAATACATTTCTAAAATGTATAATGTGTTTAGAATTTTTTTTTAGAATTGCCTTTACAGGGACTTTAAAGTGAACTACTCCTTTAAGTATATGCACATTTTGAAGTTGTTATATGAAGTTGATGCACCATATCCAGTAGAGCGACAGTAAACAGTGCTGCTCTGTACTATTGATGCTTTGAATCGTCAGATCTTGTCAAATCAATGAAAATTATGTATTTTATGAAAAAAAGACATTTTATTTAACTCAGCCCTTAGTGGGTAAGGCAGCAAAAATGAGCAGTTGAATGTAGTTTTGTGAAATTAATTTGTAGAAGCTAACACTTAGCATAAGCAGCACCATTACATAATGTTTTACACCCTTTAGCTTGGTTGACAGGACATTCAGTGAAATTGCTAATCATACAGAAATTTGTCGATTGATTGCACTGCACTATAATGTTTTGCGAAACATTTGTATATAAAACATTTTTCACAACAGACAGGCATTGCGAGTTATGCAACCATCATTACTTAGCCTGGTAATGAAAGTCTAAAAAAAGGTTTCGTTTCAGCAGAGTGTCTATGAGAACTTGAGAATGCAGGAGCGATGTAGGAACTCAAAGTGAAGGTTCTGGGCCCCGGGGTTGGACCCCCTCCCTCCTGAGGCTAGCATCGAATCGTGGTGTGACCTCGCAGCGCACCAACAGCACGTCCTCTTTCACAAACCCACGCTGCCGCAACGCCTGTAGGTGCAGGAAAGTAACATAGCCGAAACCCTTGGGGTTGCGTTGCACGGTGGGCCTCTGGAACGCCTGTAGGTCTGGCTTGGTCTCCATCACTTCCACATGGTGCTGCCCCTCGACCTGGTCCAACACTGCCAGTCGGATCGTACCCTGGAAGGGCCAGGAGAGCTGGCTGTCAAACTCACCCTGCATAGTGTGCACGAAAAGCGAGATGTAGTTGGAACAGCGAGGGGCGCTGGGGGTTTGCAGATGCAGTCGGAGACAGAGTTTGTACCCCGGCCGGCCCGTGTAAAAAGGTGGGCTGTGGAGGACTATGGGCTGACCAGCCTCTTGGTTGCGCAGGTGGAGTGAGAAGTTCTCCAAGCGCCACACGTAGACGCCTTGGTACTGCTGGGCTTCCAGCTCTCGGGTGGCCTCTTCCAGGGAGCTCAGCTTTCGGCGTAGTTCGGTGACCTGGTTTTTCTGTGTTTCATTGTGGATGCACAGCTCCCGGATCTGTTGGTCTTGACGCACCAGCCGACCCTCCAGCTCCAAGACAGTCTCCCGTAGGTTTATCAGCTCCTGTTTACACTGGCAAGAATCTGCCGCCCGGGAAGAGGCACCACGTTCGTCTGACGAAGAGTGGGCGGCAACCGACGGCATTAGGCAGCCATTGAGAGTTTGGCTACGCAGAAACTCAGCCATGTAGCGCATGTGCATCTGTGTAAATTCCTGCATGTGCTGGGCAAGTTCATTTCTCGGCATCTGCAACACATTTCCAAAGAATTAAAAAGGTTTTTAAAGTTAGACGTCGGAAAGATTTTTTAAATGTTTTTAAAAGAAATCTCTTCTGCTCGACAAGGCTGCAATTATTTGAACAAAAATACAGTACAAAAAAGTAACATGAAATATTATTACAATCTAAAATAACTGATTTCCATTTTAATATATTTTAAAAGCAATGCTGAATTTTCAGCAGACATTACTCTTCATAAAGAATTACAATATTATGATCAATGCTGTAAACAGTTGTGCTGCTTACTATTTTTGTGGAAAGTAAACTGATATACATTTTTTCAGGCGTCTTTGATAAATAGACCAGTGAGCTCAGCTCAGAATTTATTTGAAATAGAAATGTGTTATACAACAGGAATCTCATGGCCCACCTTTTCACGACAACCAAAAGTGCTGAAAGTACAGGCTACAGGTGCTTTCAGACAGTCTGTGTCACAGTGCAATGCCAACTGAAAACAATAAGAACAGATTCATTCAGCTTTATAGTTCCATAATGTATCATTTTAGGTATTAAAGTCAATTACTGTTGTGCCTCAGGTAAAGTGCATATTAGTGACAAATCCTCTGACACACCTGATCCCGAATAAGCTCCATTTCGCAATATTCACACACCGTATTGGCGAAAGGACAAATCTGTTCATGAATCTACACAAAAGGAAAAAAAGTTTTAGACACTAATGTTACACAGTGTTGTTATTGTTAACTTAAATTAATAAAACTGGCATAACAATTGATTACAGCTATTGATTAAAACTATTAAAATGTCAAAAAGCAGAAAAATATATGAAAAATATAAAAAAAATATACTAATAAAAGCTAATTCAAAGTATTAAAGGACAAGTTCAGTATTTTACACTTAAAGCCCTGTTTTAAGATCGTTTCTGATGAAATAGAACGGTTAAGATTAAAGACACATGCTGCTTTCCCAAGAATTTTCGGTTTCTGTGGTTGCACCCCCCCCCCACCTCCACAATGGTTGCATAGGTGCACTGGAACAAGCCTTCATAAAACGCATTAAACTCTAGTTTACAAAGACGTTAAACTCACCGAGTGGTCAGGGGTGTTCACTGATATGCTCACACAAAAATCGCTGCAAAAGATGCTTTCCAACAGGTTTTATCTTAGTTTTTGTCCAAGTCAAGTCAATGGAGTTGGACAAAAACTACGATAAAACAATAAAACCAAATTCTCGGGCCAGCAGCATGTGTCCAAATTTCAATCTTAACCGTCCTATTTCAACGATCTTAAAACAGGTCTTAAAAGCCCCTTTCACACAGCGCTTTGAACCCGGCAAATTGCCGGCAAATTGCCAGAGTGCCTTCTGTGTGAACGCAAACACGACCCGGGACTGATGCCGGGATCGATGCCGGGTTGGGGACCTAGTAACATTGCCGTGTTAAGACCCGGAACGCGCGCTGTGTGAACAAAAGCCGTAACCAATGCCGTGTCGTAATGATGACGCTGAAGTGAAGTGAAAGCAGGCTAGTGAAACGGTACGTAATGCGCTAGTTTATGATCGAATCATAGAAAAAAATGCACAAGCGTGGTTTCTCCAGAGAGAAATCGCAGCTCATAAGCAAACTATACACGTTGCTGAGACATTACATGTCACATCGATGTCACGTGTCTTTCCGGAACATACACGGGTTGTGTGTGAACGCGCTCTCTGATTCCGGCAAATCACTGGCAGTGTGAATGAAGCAAAATCAAACGAACCCGGGTCAAATCCCGGGTCGCTTTATCCGTGTATTTTCCGGAATCTCTGTGTGAAAGGGGCTTAAGTGTAAAATACCGAACTTGTCCTTTAATACTTCAATACTAAATAAATAATACTAACACCACAATGATGTTAGATGAGAAAAAAAAATTATTAATAGAATACCAACATTTTTATAATCCCTGCTTATGGATTTACTTTCAAAAAATGTTAACGCCATTCTAGAAATATCCAGTATGTGAAGAGGAATTAAAGGTTTTCACCTGTTTGTTAGCATACACAAAACTCCCTGCGCAGGCAGGGCAGGTCATGAGCCGCTGTAAGCACTGCTGGCTCTTGTGTTCATCCAGATGGCTCTTGCGAACAGACTCCAGACACTGAGGGCATGGCGCTGTGGCAAACTTGCACTGAGACAAGTGTCTCTGAGGGAGAAAGAATGTAACAATTTACAAACAAAGTTTGAAATGGCATTTATGAAAGGTCTTTCTCGAGTCGTCAATGCATAACATATCCATGAACTGTTTTAATAAATAATAACAAGATTTTAGGTCAGAATGTTTTTTCTAACCATTTTAAGAACCTGGGGACAGATTCCTAAATTATTCTTAAGAAAGAATTTAAAGGGGACCTTTTATGCAAAATTTACTTAATTTGTTTTTGAACATAATTATGTGTCTCCAGTGTGTTTACACAACCATATTGTGGTATAAAAAAAATCCATTCATCCAGTGTTATTTTCCCCTTAAATCTGAAATAGTAACTCAAAATGAGCCTTTCAGGAATGTGCTCCAATGCGATGTCACATTGGAACAGGCCCCGCTCATGACCGGCTTAGCTCCTCCCCCGAGTGAGCTGTACACAGTCCTCCATGTTTATCTCCTCGCCAGAGCATTTAACACTAGAAGTGGCAGAATTCCATAACTACTAGAACTGCCACAAGCAGTCATTTTGACCGTTAGATTGCAAACTCTTATCTTTAATGATAAATACCCAATTGAGAGATTAATGCATTTATTGTATTAGGATATCTTTTTAAAAACAAAACAACACCAAACTGTACATTTTAAAAAGTTTAATTATACATTTATAAATAATAATGTCAGTAGCCCGTAATTATTGCATAGGGCCTTCACAACAGATAGCTATATTTCCATATCCATACAACATAACTCAGAACAAGATAATAACAACTAAAAGTATCTTACTTAGATATTCTTTTGACAGTGAGAGAGACAATGTCACGGTTTATGAATTCGCTGTCTCCTTTCTCGTCTTGTTGTGTGTGTGTGTGTGTGTGTGTGCGTGTGGTCGCTGATCATTGCAGCTGATTAGCGCGCCCGCTCTGATCAACGCGCCAGCTGCAACTGATCAGCGATTTGACCTTTTTAGTGTTACTGTTCTCGCCTAGTCTTTGTCAGATCGTTGTGGATTTTTCCTGCGTGTTTGTTCCCTGCCTGTATCCGTTTTCCGTGTGTCATCCCGTGTTCAGCACTCACTCCAGCGTCCCTGTGCTGCCAAGCCAAGGGCTTTTGAGAGAGCAAGGCGGGCATTTGAGCTTATAAAACTTAAACTTTGTTATTTCTTTTTTAAATGAGCGATCGTTTCGCTTGATAAGACCCTTATTCATCGTCTGGTGTCGTTTAAAGCCATTTGAACAGTTTGCAGTTTGCACTGAAACTGTCTTTTGGATCTTGAACCGTTTGGTGCCCAGCAAAGTGCATTATATATGGAGAAAAATCCTGGAATGTTTTCATCAAAAACCTTAATTTCTTTTCGACTGAAGAAAGAAAGACATGCACATCTTGGATGACATGGGGGTGAGTAAATTATCAGCAAAAGTTTTTTTTAAAGTGAACTAATCCTTTAAAGCGGAATAAGATGTGAAAGAAAACTTAGTTTAATACTCAAGGATGTGTGCACTCAGAAAACCATATCAGAAATTTAGCAACTAATATGGCTTTAGAACGCATGCAGATAATAAACATTTATGACGATGAAGAACTGCAACGACATGTGAGCGTGTTCGCGATAGAGATAATAATCAATTATTAGTATTTTAGGCACGAGCTGTAAAGGCTCCGCCCACTCCTGGAAAGCAGGATGGGGAGCAGCAGCTCATTTGCGTTTAAAGATACATGCACGAAAACAGCATGTTTTCCCTTCCACTAAAAAATTTACAACATGGTATAATAAATGAGCTGAAACTGAAAGCGTTTCTAAGGAAGATTTTTAGAAGGCAACTGTCTGACTCTGAGATGGTGAACAGTAACATGGTTTATGTAACATTAACAGCACATTATTAGCTGTTTGATAACGTGGTCAAGCAAAAGGCTAATCTTATTAATTACCGTTTTGTGTCCGACATTGTACAGAGCGATACATAAAACGCATTACCATTCTGATACTTTGACGAGTTGACCTAGTGGATCTCTGAGATGGTGTGATTGAGAGGAGACAGAGCTAATTTGCATTTAAATGATCTGTGTATACTAAGAGTTTTAAGTGATAAAAATATTAACTACAGGGGGACTTTAAATTTAATTGATATATTGTCCTAACCAACCCCTAACCCTAAACACAACCGTTGGTAACCCTCTTGATATATTTAACCTAATTTCAGTATATGAGCCCCTATATTATGGTTTTAAATTCAGTTTTCTTTAAAAGACTATTTTCAGTGTTTGTGCGAGACCTCAATTCATTAGCCATAGCGCAAGCGTGGCACTTTCCGTCGGATGTGTGACCCACTTAACAAAGTTCAGTAAACGGTAAAACAATTGCGCTAAAAACTAGTGTGTTTATTAGTAAGTTAATAAATTTAAGTTTAAATTAAAGTTTAAAATGGCTGTTCCTGCTCTTATGTTATAAATAAAGTGGAAAGATAATAATAATAAAAAAAGAATTTCCATTGGTCGTCTTTGCATCTGTTTGTTTGAAGTTTGAATCAGGTCTCTGTTCGAGTAGAATTGTCTAGGTGGCGCTGTCACAAAAAACTAGGGTCCTAGAAATGCAGTCCAAGAACTGCAGTCCTTAAACTACATCCTCTGGTACGGCAGGAATACAGTATTGGTCACACCAGCAAATTTACCTCCAGTTGGCGCAACTCCATTTTATCACTGCATCCTACATTAGGACATCTGATGGTGAGCGAGAGGATCTCTCGTTTGGCAAAGTTATCAGCGAAGAGCTGTTCCTCGAGCAGCACCTCATTGTCAACTGGACATTTTTGCCCTGTGTCCCTGCCAGGCAGAAGAAAGTGTGTTATATTTGACATTTTTAATACTGTAAAGCCTGGCATATGAGATAATGGTCAGAAAAATCTGTTTTAAATAAATGGAGCAGTTTATTAAATCTTTGGACAAAAAAAAGGTTTGCGTATTTGTTTTTTGTTGAGTATCATATTTGATACAGGCTTTATGGCCCATATAGTATATGGAGCTCAAATTTGAGGAGGAAAAAACACCTCATTTTACTCAGAGGCTCAAACTGAGCAAAAATACATTAAGGGATATTTCACCCACAAATTTAAATTCTGTCATTAATCACTCACCCTCATGCCGTACCAAACCCATAAGTATGTATGTTCTTCACTGATCAATATATGTGAATAAAAGCAGTCTGTTCAGCATATAAAGTGATCGTATCTCTTCAGAAAATTTGGACTAATCCACTCAATTCATATGGATTAGTTTTACAATCTTTATGAACTTTTTGAAGCGTCAAAGTGGTAGTTGCGTAGCTATCTATGGAGGGACAGAAAGCTCTCAGATTTCATCAAAAAGATCTTCATTTGTGTTCCAAGGATGAACAAAAGTCTTATGGGTTTGGAACGATATGAGGGTGAGTAATTAATGACAGAATTTTCCTTTTTGGGTAAATTATACCTTTAAATAAGTTGCTTCAGTCAAGTAGGTGTTCATCTTGAAATACTACTAACAATTTTAAAATAATTAGTTTTCTTCATAAAAATCATTAAAGGATTCACAGCAAAAAGACATGTGAACCATGACCTAATGCTGTTTTTTTAGAATCAAACTAAAATGACTTTTACTTACTAAGAAAGTATAAACTATCAATCAGACAAAATATGTAGTAGAGTGTGCAACAGGTTTTGCAGCAAAGTTTTGGTCACGTTGATAATTTAGAGGCCGTAGCAATTTGCGTATCAAATATGATACAGTATGCTTCACAGGGTCAATTTTGAAAGTGACAAATACACTAACCTGATGGACTTCCTGATGCACGAGTTGCAGAATCGATGTCCACATGGTGTCTGTACTGCTGAGCGGAGACCCATTAGACAGATAGGGCACTCATACTTGCTCTCTAGTGGAGGGTCAAACTCTACATCATAGCCTTGCTGGTCTGGGGGGATACTAGAAGAGACACTGATGGTGGAGGGGTTCTCTGTCGGGCTCAGATACGAATCTCTCTCTTTCTCCATGGCTAATGCACAACTGGAGTATTCGCCCTCACAGCAGCCATCATCGAGGCTGGACTTATCCATGTCGTTGCAAGCCATCTGTAATCACATCAAGACAGTCAGTTATATGTTGCTGTGCGAAAATAATAGATAATCATCCATACAACACATATAACAGCAAAACCCAAATCTGGCCCCCAAAATGTATGGTGCTTTTCATATGATCTGGATGTTACACAGAAATTGACCTCTAGGTTTTCAAAACATCGACATGCTTTCAAAGTCTTAATTGCACAGAGGATGTGGTCACAGAACAGATATTAGGTGGATTTCCGCTATAACGTACTACTAATGCAAAGAGGGAAGGCATGGGATGAGAAACTACAGGCCTATTGATGTATTCATCTTTAAACTACTGTTTCCTCACGAGCATGCTGGGCGGGGCTGATTTGTGGGAGAAACCTTTCTCTCGTAACAAGTGGAAAGGTACTTTTTTAGTCCAAAATACCCACATCTCACTTCGTAAAAGTAAAATGTACATCTGTAAAAGGTTAAACTTATCTTCCATCTTAATATTAAATTAAATTCAAAGTCAATAGGAGTAAAAAGGCGAAATCAGCTAACCAGTCACAACCGACGGTTAACGTATCAGCAACTTCCCTGCCGTCGCCTGTGAAACACACATTCTACCCTAACATTATTGTTGTTATAATATCACACACTTCTTGGTATAACATATGATTCGATTGCAGATGACAATCTTCCGTAATAGTTTTAATTTACATACCCTGGCTCGGTCCGGCCTCGCTGTCTACTACAGCTTCCTGTATAATATTGACTCCAAACATTCAGCGCATAAGCGCAACGTCACTGGGCCAAACCTCCCCTCGTGACTCTGATCCCAGACCTGCGCTCCCAACCGTATCCTCGCGAGAATCACCGCGATGTCGACGTCTGTAGGCCTCAGATCGGCGCTCACTAGCTCATGCGATTAGAGCAGAAGGCGAGTTTTGTGACGGGATTTTACCACAGGCTACCATTCTCTGGCAGTACTATACTGAATATTGAAATCCACGAGATGGCGCGGTTACCTCTGATTCTAAAGCAGAGAACTTATTCATCAAGGTGACAGCAGTGTCAGTAAAGAACTTGCTTGAGATCATTACATCACTCTGCTATTTTGATAAATTGTAAAAAAAAAAAAAAAAAAAAAAAAAAAAACTTTTTTTGAGAGAGAATAACATTATTTGTGTGTAGGCTATAAATGCTACCTCATCATGATGCTATCCAAGAGTTGGCTTGGCTCCACATGATACCTTAACTGAAAGGTAACACAGTTGACTGACCAACCACATAGCATTTTCTTAATCAGGTTAACCTCACATTTGAATAAGCTATAGCCTATATTTGAATTAAAATCATTACAAATTTCAAACCCTAACGATACCCAACATAGGCTGTGTCCCAAAGGATGCAGCCTCTTAATTGGGACAAGTCTACAGTCAATCATTATAGGCCTATACTCATTGACAATTGGTATTGTAGATAAAATACTGAGGTAAAAAACAGAGAGAGGACACTTACAATAATGTGTTTAAAATGTCCATCACATAAAAATTATGTTTTGATAAACCATTTGTTAGTTGCTCGGCTTGTTTGGTTAGTAGCCTATATTTGACAGAACGCCTATGTATTATAGATAGGGGAGCTGAAATTATCCACTGGTCATTCTAATTTAAAAAATAAATATAAAACCTAATAAATCAAGACAAAAACAAAGAAACTATTAAGCTAGATTCAAAAGTAAACTATGAAAGACTGAGTGACAGAAAAATAGGAAGCAGTAAACAAGGCGAGTTGCTACATTAATGGTCACATTCATATGTGCTTATATTCTTGTTTTCTATATGCATTTACAGGACATTGTGGCAAATCTGTGATCAAAATCATGTTGCGGTTTTCCCAAATTGCACTTACACTCAAAACAAAACTGGAAGTCTGCTAAAAGAAAAGGTCTGTGTAAACATTTGCACAGATTTCTGTTTGAGCAAGAAGGCGTGCTCTGAATCCTGAGGCTGGTCAATAAGGAGCCTTGTTATATGCAGGTTGTTGACCTTGCTGTTTATAAAATGTGCTTTTCATAAGTGACATAGAAGCTCAGTGTGACCCCCACCTACCCAAACTTTGAAATACTATGTGGGCTGTGAAGGCTACAAACAGACTGGCAAAAATTTACTTAAAAGCCAATGCTCAGTCCTCAGAAAAAAAGAAGAAAAAAAACTGTGCTGACATCAGTTGTGAGGTCTAGGTCTTGGTCAGGAATGGCATTCGTGTTACAGTATCACTGTGTACCAGTCTTGGAATTGGGAAGACCTGTGTGGCTCTGGAATATCCGGAATAGTGACAATCCTAAATTGTGTAATTTTATATGGTCATACTAAAATGCCAGAGCAATCAAATAACAATATATATATATATTTAAAAAAAAAAGAACAAATAGTTTTTCATAGCTAGAAAGCCTAGACCCACAGTGAACCACCAAATCCTCAGGTCCACCTTTAAATTCACACCTTTCTGCGTCACAGAAACTGCACGTCTCTGATTTGAGTCCTACCTCACTGGCAGGAGTGACTACATTTCATGCCTGGGTGTTTCTTCAGCAACGGGCACTTTTGACATTTGGTGATATTTTGTCAACTTCATTACCAATAGAATCGCCATTGGCTTGTAGAAATGTTGGTTTACTCATCAGACTTTAGACGCATATGTATGTGTGTGTGTGTGTGTGTGTGTGTGTGTGTGTGTGTGTGTGTGTGTGTGTGTGTGTGTGTGTGTGTGTATAAAAAGTTTGAGATCAGAATTTTTTTTTTATATTTGAATATATTTTAACCCTTTGATGCACAACATGGGTCTAAATAGACCCGACTGAGTTTTCATTTTCTTCTAGACCCGTATTCATGTTTCTTTGCTGAATATTTGAAAGAAATGTATTTTATCATTTATTAATCCAGGCATTCATTAAATATTTTGTTTTTGATTTCCACAAATCATTATGTTTATTTTTCCTTTCTTACTTTATGGTTGGTAGGGAAATTACAAACCTGCGCACACATATTCAAACGAATATAACTATAGAATCAATTTTTAATGCGCATGTGAACGCCATCCGGTCACAGGTTCGCGTTTAAAGTCTGTTTAGAGAGAACGCCGTCGTCTTAGTGGCCCCTAATGTAATAACAAATGATAATTTTGCTGGAAGTTTATCAATCAAAACCAACTTTAGCCGGAAATAACATTATTCAAAATCACTATAAAGCCAAAACAATCTCTGTTACCGTAAATTGTATGTTTATCTCTGTTAAAAGCGCTATATAAATGAAGATGACTTGACTTGACTTGACTTTATAAACAAACACGTTTTTTTTATTTCTACATCAATTTTACACACATGGGTCAAAAATGACCCATATAGGAACCTTTGATATTTATAGTATAAATATATTTACTGCAGAAATATATTTATTTCTGCATATATATATTATATATTTATATATATTTCATATATATATATATATATATATATATATGCATATATATATATGCATATATATATACACTCACCGGCCACTTTATTAGGTACACCTGTCCAACTGCTCGTTAACACTTAATTTCTAAGCAGCCAATCACATGGCGGCAACTCAGTGCATTTAGGCATGTAGACATGGTCAAGACAATCTCCTGCAGTTCAAACCGAGCATCAGTATGGGGAAGAAAGGTGATTTGAGTGACTTTGAACGTGGCATGATTGTTGGTGCCAGAAGGGCTGGTCTGAGTATTTCAGAAACTGCTAATCTACTGGGATTTTCACGCACAACCATCTCTAGGGTTTACAGAGAATGGTCCGAAAAAGAAAAAAACATCCAGTGAGCGGCAGTTCTGTGGGCGGAAATGCCTTGTTGATGCCAGAGGTCAGAGGAGAATGGCCAGACTGGTTCGAGCTGATAGAAGGGCAACAGTGACTGAAATAACCACTCGTTACAACCGAGGTATGCAGCAAAGCATTTGTGAAGCCACAACACGCACAACCTTGAGGCGGATGGGCTACAACAGCAGAAGACTCCACCGGGTACCACTCATCTCCACTACAAATAGGAAAAAGAGGCTACAATTTGCAAGAGCTCACCAAAATTGAACAGTTGAAGACTGGAAAAATGTTGCCTGGTCTGATGAGTCTCGATTTCTGTTGAGACATTCAGATGTTAGAGTCAGAATTTGGCGTAAACAGAATGAGAACATGGAACCATCATGCCTTGTTACCACTGTGCAGGCTGGTGGTGGTGGTGTAATGGTGTGGGGGATGTTTTCCTGCCACACTTTAGGCCCCTTAGTGCCAATTGGGCATCGTTTAAATGCCACGGCCTACCTGAGCATTGTTTCTGACCATGTCCATCCCTTTATGGCCACCATGTACCCATCCTCTGATGGCTACTTCCACCATGTCACAAAGCTCTAATCATTTCAAATTGGTTTCTTGAACATGACAATGAGTTCACTGTACTAAAATGGCCTCCACAGTCACCAGATCTCAACCCAATAGAGCATCTTTGGGATGTGGGGGAACGGGAGATTCGCATCATGGATGTGCAGCCGACAAATCTGCGGCAACTGTGTGATGCCATCATGTCAATATGGACCAAACTCCCTGAGGAATGCTTCCAGCACCTTGTTGAATCTATGCCACGAATAATTGAGGCAGTTCTGAAGGCAAAAGGGGGTCCAACCCGTTACTAGCATGGGGTACCTAATAAAGTGGCCGGTGAGTGTATATTTCTGCAAATATATATTATATTTATTTCACCTGCCACGCATTTCACAATTCAACACGGCTGCTCTTGTATATTTCATGCATGTTAGTTTTATTTAATACATTTTTTGTCACAGAAAATATTTGATATTTTGTGAAAGACATCTAGATATAGCCTAATATTTGAAAGTTTAGGCTAAGGTTATTGACCTTGAAATCCATTACTAGTGCAAAAGAGAAACATGTCCAATACTAATAGCTAGCTTGCGGTCGACATGTTCTATTTTATCTAATGTTAGCTAGGTCAACAAAATAAAAGTTGCAATAGAAATTTATATATACAAGTATATATTGTCGCTGTTGGGCAGAAACCTTGTACCTCCATATTCATTTTTATTTGTGGTCATAAATCAATGCTATCGGTCACATAAGCCGTTGTGTGGTGGCGTTCTGGTGCACTATGGCTGCTGCCACATCATCCGGGTGGATGCTGCACATTGGTGGTGGGGAGATCCGGCTACAGTTGCACTACACTACAGTTCAATTTCAGTGTTATCGGTTATGTGTGACAAAGTGGCCAATAAACATATTTCAAGTGTTACACTAAATGTGTTGATCTAAACAACTGTGACATTGGTTATTTTAACAAAATGTTTTCTTTATTCTTTTGTTTTATCACGCTTGCATAGATGGGTCATTTTAGACCCATGTGTGTAACCTTGATGTATTAACACAAAACCTATAGGAAATATTAAAATATGAATTTGTGATAATTGAAAACAAGATATTTTGAATATTCATAAATCATGAAATTTATAGATCATGAAATATTAAATGCTCAAATAAAGTGATTTCAAAAGGTACGGGTCTTTTTAGAAAATAAAGAAGTGTGAAGTCCGCACACTGAAAAGTACTGCTCCAAAAGAATTGATTAAAAGCAACTTTTCGACCCTCAGGTCTTCATCAGGCACAATCAATGTGCACATTGTGCCTGATGAAGACCTGGGGGTCGAAACATTGCTTCTAATCAATTCTTTTGGAGCAGTACTTTTCAGTGTGCGGACTTCACACTTCTTTATTTTGTTTATTTCACT